ATTGTGCTATTTAATGGATTTTTTAGTTATTGAAAACATAACTTTTTCCGATACAACATTGTGCCGTAATGGTTTGACCTGGAAATAGATTCAAAATATTAAACAATTTTTACTACAATATAAATAAATAAGAAAAGCGAAAACCACCCATGGTGTTGTGTCCTAGAAATGTTACTTTTCAAAATGTCTATTCCGTGTGTAAATGTGTTATCAGGTCACAATTTATTGTGGACAGCAAATGTGGTGAATAAATAAATAGTTGTTCCCTTGAAAGGCAATTGAAAGTAGCAGGAAGGATGGTGGAAGTAGTACACAAAACAAATAATAATCAATTTATTTTTAAACTATTCAGTTGAAATGAAAATCAATTTGAGTTGTTGAGAGAAACCAAAAAAAAAAAAAAAAAAAAAAAAAACACTAAAATAATAAACAAAACAAAAAGACATTGTTTGTGCCAGAAAGTGAAAAAACTCAAAAATACTGAAACTAAAAACCAAACAGACGCTGTCGCATTTTTCTTTTTTTTTTTTTTGCTGTGAAAATGATTTTTTTCACAAACATTTGCCAGCTAAATCGCTTGGATGGAACCGCCACATTTGGTGTTCACGTAAGGCGGGTGTGAAAAAATGCGCTGAAAATTAATTTGCAAATATTGTCTCACATTGTCAAAAATCAACAAAAAACATAACCTCTGTGGTGTGAATAACCTGAAACAATGATGTAAAGAAAAAACAAACGAATTGAAAAATTTAAAAAAAAAACAAATTATCGAATATTTAAAATCAAATTTATTTATCACAAATTTAATAAGAAGCTACCAAAAAAAAAAAATTAATGCGACCCCCTGGTTTAGAATGGCCTTGTTCAAAGTTCAATAGAACAAATCCCAGGTGGTAATAACAAAAAATAAAATTAATATCCATATACACCCACAAGTGTGAAAAGCCAACCGAATGACAAATGACTCCATAGAGGAATCTAAACTAAATAGTGACCTTAAACTCTAGTTGAACTTATTTGCTTTGGGTGTAGAAGTTTCCAGCGAAACTTCACTATTTTACGCTGAGCTAAAATAAAACCAAACTATTTTGTCATGATGAAGCATGATGTGATGGTGAAACCCCTACCCGTTAGTGTTAGCAAGGATATAACGAAAAAGAGCCTTTGGAAATCACGATCTTCCTCCGAGACAGCCACGCCCAAGAGCCCCATGACGAAGGCATTCGATTTTCTTCCGTGGTCACGAAGCAAAAAATCCAGTGACAAATCAGGCAAATCTGAGGATAGTAAAAATAAAAATGATCTTTCACCCACAAGTGCTGGCAAATCGATTCTCAGTACATCCGCTGAGGACAAAAAGGATGCGGCAAATTATCAACGAAATATTTTTCGCAATGGCGGTGGCCTTATCAAAGATATTTTAAGCGATAAACAGAATAAGGATGAACGACCGCTTAAGAAATCATCGCTGCGTCGAGCCCGCCAAGTTACCTCACGTAATAAGAGTCTGGACATACACGAACTCATAACTTGTGTGGAAAAGGAACTCAACAATGGTTCAGCAGATCAAATGGGCAGCGAAAAAGCACAACATCGTTTTCTCGATGATACATTCGTTGAGAATATCATGAGAGCCAAAGAGGCCTATCAAAAGAATCTGCTGGAAGAAGAGCAGCAGGAGGAGGAGGAAAATCGTAGGAGAGAACAGCATGCAGGTCGATACAGCTCTCGACATGCGGACGATTTCCATGACACCGAAGATGAGTATTTCTATCAACAACAACAGGAATTGGCTCATCTCTATCCCAACGGTGATGGTCGCAAGTGTCCCAGTGGCTCTGGCAATGGTAACACCTCTCCAAAACACATCCTCTTCAACGATGAGAACACGGTTTATCTCATCAAGAAGGGTCAACCGGTCAACAAATCTCTTAAAAACTGTGATAAAGAACGTAAAACTCATACCGAAAACATATTGAAAGCTCGTCTGAAATTCAAGAAAATATCCTCATCCTCCGATCCAACACCGCATGCGGACTATAAATCCACAATACTTTTAAATAACAATCATGTGATAGGCCAGGATAAAATGGCCGCTTCTCGAAGAAGTATTTTGCAGAGACAAATAACTAATCCTGAAGATTACAGTGGCTATAAGCCATATACAAGTCCCATACAGTTGCGTAAACGATCTCCTTCGGCGGGACGATATCAACAAAATCCGCAACATAAAACAAACGGTGGTGTTTACTCCTCTCCGCCCTTTCAGCGACGAAAATCATTGACCGAAGGTCTGTTGTATGATTTACCCAATACCGCTACCGGCGGCACCCTACTGCATGATAGTGCTGCTGCCGGCAATTCCAGTACTAGCAGTATGGGCAGCGGTGTCAGTGCTACGGGTAGTACAACAGGTGGTATTTTAAACGATCGTCCCCGGACCGATAAACCCCGCAAGAAACTGTCTTTCCGTGAGCCGGTAGTTGCGGAAAAACGTCGTTCACGACGTCAAAGTGCAGAGGTTGTGTCTGTCACAACGAACGGTATAAATGTCCAACCCGCCGCCAACAAAACCAATAACAACACTTCAAATTCAAGCTGTGATAATTTAGTTAATAGTAGTAGACGTTCAACGCCATCCAATGATGTAACCACGCCGACGGAAGAGGATTTAATGCAGGTAAGGAAAGAAACATATCAGGGAGGGAGAATAAATGTTGGAGGGGAGAATAAATGAGCGGTGCGTAATTGTAGGATTTGGCTCCTCTAACCCTGTGCATATATCTTGAAATTTTTTACGAGTGCCATTCGTACTAACACGATAAAAAATGTACTGAAAATTGAATAATTTGTATTGGAGAAACGAATTGATCTAGCATTCTGAAATCGGAATGAGAGTCACTAATCGAGTGCTGGATGGATTTACCAAAAGGGGTTTTGGCAATTCGAACTTTAAGACTACGAAAAGTTCTAAAATAGTACTAAACTTCTAACATGGTACCGTTTGGTATTATGCGAAGGGATAGAGAGAATAACTTGAAATTTGAGGGTGGAAATAAGTTGATATATGAAGATGGTTTTAGAAAATTGTACTAAGTGTGCGAACTGTACTAAATAGTACTAATGTTTGGACAGTTTGATTTAGGGTAAACGGATGAAGCTGGAATTTTAAAATTCTATATTGGAGTCCCTCTTGGCGTTAGGTTTGCTATTAAGAGGTTTTGGAAATGTGTACTACAAATGCACGAAAATAACTAGATACTACTATATTTGGTACAATTTGGTATTGCGTGAACAGAAAGTGCTAGAAATCTGAAATTTGTTATTAGGGTCGCTGTTCATGTCTGGATATATGGCTGTGGTTTCGGAAGTGTGTATTATAATTGTACGAAATGTACAAAATGGTACAAAATTTGGTCTTAGTTGAAGGGATAGAGATAGAATTCTGAAAATTGGTATCTGAGGTTAAGATTTGGAGCTGGGTTTGAAAATGCGTTCTATAGTTGTACGAAGAGTAATGAATGGAACTCAATTTGGAACAGTTTGGTTGGGGGTGAACGGACGAAGCTGGAATTTTGAAATTTTGTATTGGGGACCCTACTGGTGGTAGGTTTGTGATTAAGAGGTGGTTTTTGTAATGTGTACTACACGAAAAGTACTAAATAGTACCATATTTGGTACCATCTGATATTGGGTGAATAAGTAGTTCTCGAAATTTAAAATTTGGTATAAGGATCGCTGGTCATGTGTAGCCTGGACATGTGGCGGTGGTTTCGGAAATGTGTACTTTAATTGTACCAAAAGTACTAAATGGTACTCAATTTGGTATTGGTTGAAGGGATAGAGATAAAATTCTGAAATTTGATATTTAGATAACTGTTGACATCTAGGATTGAAATTTGGAGCTTGGTTTGAAAAATGCTAAATAGCACTAAATTTGGTTTGAGTGAAGGAATAGAGCTGAAATCCTGGAGGTGGCTTAAAAAATGTGTACTATAATTGTTCGAAAAATACTAAGTGGTATTAAATTAGGTATTAAGTAATGGAATATATCTGGATTTACGAAAATTTATATTGAAGTCCCTGTGGGTATCTGGAATTGAGATATGATATGCTTAATAGTACTAAATTGCTTTGGGTGAAGGAATAAAGCTGAAATCCTGAAAATTGATACCGATTTCACTGTTCGTGTCTGTGGTTGATAGAAGAGGCTGATTTTGGATAATTGTACTAAATGGTACTAAATTTTGGGCTGGGCTTGGAAATGCGTACTAAAATTGTTCGAAAGGTACTAAGTGGTACTTAATTTGCTATTGCGCAAAGGAATAGAGCTAAAATCCTGAAATTTGATATAGATGTCACTGTTGGTATCTGTGTTTGATATTTGGTTCTGGTTTTGGAAATGTGAACTATAATCGTTCTGAAAGTACTAAGCGGTACCAAATTGGGAATTGGGTGAAGTATTTGGGCTGGAATTACGAAAATTGATATTGAGAACTCTGTTGGTATCTAGGATTGAGATAAGGAGGTGATTTTGGCAATATGTATCAAAATTGTACAAAAAAGTTCTAAATGAGGTATTGGGTAAAATCATAGAGCTGGAATCCCGAAACTTGATATAGAGGTCCCTATTGGTTTCTAGGGTTTATAATTGGATTTGGGTGCATTGTGTAATGGTTTTACTAATATCCTCCTCGGTAAACTTAAAAATGAAAGATTTTGAAGACTTTATAAATAAAAATAAAAAACGAAAATCTGAAAATTTAGAACGATGTATGAATTTTTAACTAAAAAATGTTGTCAAACTGAACAAATTGTGCATTTTGAGTACTAAAAAGGCATATGGAGTGTACGATAACTTTTCCAGTGCCTTTTCGATTGTTATTGATATTAAATCAAGAATCAATGTTTTGGTGGAATTATTATTTACTTTCCATTATTAAATTCCTACAAATATTAAATAATTTTCCTCTTTCTCTCTTTCTTATGTTTCATTCCAGTCTCAGGCCATGCGCATTGTACGCACCGTTGGACAGGCTTTTGAAGTATGTCACAAATTTAATATACACAAAAATTCCCTGGATCATACAGAAGAACGTTCCGATATCTCGTCGTCAGAGCTACTGGATGTTGAGACGCGTTCCGAACAGCATGTCAGCGATGATGATCTTCACAACAAAAAAGGTAAGATGCTATTTCATCGCAATGTTAATATAAATATGGAAATGCATAGCAAAAAAAAAAAAAAAAAAACATAATTGATATTCATATAAACAAAAGATCACATCTGCAAAACTTTGTTTATTGGGTCAAAAAATCGAAAAGCCCAAACCTTAAGGTTAATAACTTCAGATGCCATGTCTGTTTATTAACCAATGTTAAAAAATGGAAAAATGCGTTTTACATCTACTTATCTGTGCGTTCTTTTTTTCTTATCTTCTTATTACAAAGAAAATAAATTTCCTTTACATTACGCTTGGTGGTAATTACCGAGTTTTCATATGCAGACAGGAAGTGTGGAGCTTGTACACTGCACACACACACAAGCCCATATTTTCACCCATGTTTTTGGTACTTTTAAATTTCAAGATGGAAAATATGACGAATAGGAAATATGGAATGTGTATGTACATTCTTATCTAGGAAATTACATACACAAATCTTTTGATACTACATACATATTATGAATGTACGTGTGTGTGGATAACCTGAAATTGATGAGGTCATATTTATCTTGTTATCCATTCACACATTTTCTCTAATGATGTCCTCAAGCATGTCATAAATGTGTAATTTTCTGTGGTCATCTCAGTAATGTTTAATAATTTGAGGTTATCACAGTGGAGGATATTTCAATTCATATTCAGGATAAACAAGAGAAAATGACATAAATGTCGGCATAAAGTCGAATTTTTGATACCCTCCACCATGAGTGATAAGCAAATTATTGAAAATAGCAGCGCTGGGATTTAGCATCACCAATGAAGTCTGTTATGGAAAAGTGGTCAAAAATTTGGAAATATTATAATACAATAAAAATTTTTGTAAAAAAAGTGTACACCGAAAAGTGGGCACAGTGGGGCAACTTCTGGGAACATAAAATCCGAATTTACAAACAGTTTTGCTGAAACTAACAGTTTTGTTGAAAGACTTCATATAGAGTGGTACTGTCACATTTATAGTTTTATCTTAGCAGCTGTAGAAGCTTTATCAGCTGTAGAATCCTTCAAAATACCGAATATAGGGCGGTATCGTTATATGGGGGCTATACTGCTCATACATTAAAATATGTGAGTTTTCCTACAAACCGGTAGGCCCAGCCACAATTTTTAACCAAAGTAGTAAAGAGTTGGCCCTTTTTTTGTTTCCGACATTTTACGGATCCAATTATCCTTTTTCTTCTTTCGCAGTAGATTTGGTGCCACATTTAGACTATATCAGGTACTCGATTTCTTTTATATCAGATATATGTATGCCTTTTTTTGAAAATAATAAGTTGTGAGAAATCTTTAGAAAATCGGACAATGATATAAGATTTTTACCTTTTTTGGGGAAGACACAGAAATAAATGAACAAAAATATTGGGAATTTTCCATCATCTAGATTCACCGACGTGCCAATGTTGAACTATATCGAGTACCTCCTTTGCCTAAAGGAAGATTTTTATAGTTTTTTTGCAATATTTTTGAAGTGCTGTGTTGCTGTGTTCTGTGGAAATGAACCGATATATTTCATTTTTCTACCCCACACCACACAGTGGTAAGGGTATTATGTCGTTGTCCGTCTGTCCATGTATTTTTGTGAACAAAATGCAGGTCGCATTTATTATCCGATTGAGATGAAATTTTCCAAACGATATTTTTTTTGGCCCAAGGACGAACCCTATTGAAATTGGTGAAAATCGGTTCAAATTTAGATATAGCTCCCATATATATATTTTTTCCGATATCAGTTTTTTTGTACACCAAATGACCAATGTCAGTATAAATTACCTGAATTTTAGTACATCCGACCAAATTCATTCTAGAAGCTACAGGTCCCATATATATGTTTCATCCGATTTGGTGTTTAAGTCCCTCACAATCGTAATATGCACTCCACAAGAAAAATATTTGATACCACATACCACAAATATCTCTGTCAAATTTTATCAAGATCGAATCAGATTTTGTTATAGCTCCCGTATATATCTCTATCCGATATCAGTTTTATTGTGCACCAAATGTCCAATATTAGTCCAAATGACGTGAATTTTGGTACATCCGAACGAATTTAGTCTTGAAGCAAATACGTCAAATTTGGTGCAAATTGGTTCAGATATAGCTATAGCTCCCATATATGTGTTTTATCCGATTGGGTGTTAAAATCCCACACATGCGTAATATGGACTTTTAACCAATGCTCATTGGTATCAGATATCACATACAGCCCAGAAATACCTCTGTCAAATTGTATCGAGATCGGTTCAAATTTGAATATAGCTCCCTTATATATCTTTATCCGATTTCAGGTTTAATGTGCACCAAATGCCATGCATTATGGCATATCCGACAGAATTCAATCTAGAAGTAAGAAAGTCAAATTTGGTGAAAATCGGCTCAGATATGCGTAATATGCACTCCATAACATCCGATGCGTAATATGCACTCCATAACAATGAATTTGATACCAGACATCTGATATGGCTTGAAAACGCCCCTACCAAAATTTGTCGAGATCGGTTCAGATTTTTATATACATTCGATATACATCATCTGCATACGATTTTACGGTTATTGTCCACCATACATATAATATCAGCCCAAATTGGATAGAATTTCCCTATTTGGCGATACTCGTTGTTGTTCTAACAAATATTTTTGAATACAATTCTTATCGAGGTCATATCATGCACCATACAATAATGTATGGTGCATGATATGACTTCCACAAAAAATTTGTTGAAAATCTATTCAGAATTGAATGAAGTTTCCAAATTTTGATTACTCTAAAGCAATGATACGAACTCAAATGAGGTTCATAGTTGGTATGATCGTCTTCACATATATTTCCAATATAAACTATTTTTTTTTTTTTGAGGAAGCTCTACTAAATACGCATAGTGGTGTAGGGTATCATATTATCGGCCCCGTCCGACTTTTTACCTTTCTTTACCGGTTAGATTTTCTGTAACACAGGCAAAATATTAGGACGTGAAAGTCGGACACTGATTTCACATTTTACTAGAGTTTTTTATCCAAAATTGTGAGCCTTTGTAGGAGAGGTAGAGGTAAGAGTGGGTCAATATTGTAAATTTTCCATTGTCCATTTACGATGTCCCACGCTTGAACTACATTGGGTACTGTCATCGCTCAATATGAGGTTTTTATTTGTTATACCCTGCACCATACTATGGAGGGTATATTAAATTGGTCATTCCGTTTGTAACTCCTCGAAATACTCATGTCAGACCCAACAAAATATATATTCTTGATCAGCTAAGTCGATTTAGCGATGTCCGTCTGTCTGTCTGTTGTAATCACGCTCATCACGCATCATCTTTCGAACGAATTGAGATTTTGAGATTTTTCACAAATGTATTTCGTAAATGGGCCACGTTTTCATATAAAATCTATATAACGATATTCGGAATTTTGATGATTATAGCGACATTATTGAGCGGAATTGTTTCAAATTTAATATTTGTAGTTCGAAGTAGATACTACAGCCTTAGACAGAAAATTGTCTGTGTAGGTCCACGTCTTCGTATAGCCCTCATATAACGGTACCTCCCGATATTCGATATTTTGATGATTTTATCATTTGGAAATCTTACAACTTTAATTGTGTGCAATTACAATAAACAGTTTATTGAACACTAACTGATACGTACACACAACAACCTATATCGAATACAAGCCGTACTACTAATTGGCATAGCTTACATTTTCAATTTGTACAAAACAATTTTTAAATTTAATGGCTCCCATATTTATTCCCATTTTTAAACATCTCTGGAGGATGTTTAAAGCTCAAATTGGCGTCAAGGTTTTCTCTGAGACCAGATCACGACAAATTATGGTCCCCTCCATTAAAATATGCACATTTCGTTTAATATCGGTTTTCATGTCTTTTGTTAAACACGAATTATGACATTTTTCATAGCTTTTCCCCTTTTAACTGCTGACATTTATTAGGAGTACGTGAAATGCAAAAAAAAGAAGAGAAAAAAACATTGTTCACGTCAAATCAACACCAGGAACACAAGCTCAACCATGTCACACACAAGTGATTTGACAGTGGCATGGCACTAATACAGCTTTTTAGCATCATCAACATCATCACCAACACCACCATTAGAATGCTTTTAGCTCAACATTCACCCACCACTCCCACCATTGTTGGATATAAGGAGGATATTTTTTTTCTTCATTTTTATTTTGGTCCAAAATATTCTCGTTATTGTTGCTGGCTTTCTTCTATTTTTACAACAGACTGAATTTTATTTTAATGGCTTTTTACGCCTCAGACTGGCCATAAAAAACCCTCCTATTGGGTCCTTTTATTGCAATGTTTGGTGTCAGCAGTAATTTGTTGCACGTCACGCCATGGCATGACACTCTTCAGTAGCTCGAAATCAATTTTCACACATGCAGCATTTTTTTTAACACAATAATCTGTTTATAGGTTTTTAAAAATCTGATCGTAAAATCAGCAATTTACATAAACTGGCGAGTTTGAGGAGATTTTTTTCGGTTTAATTCTATAGAATGTGTACTTATCGAATTATGTGGCACGATACTTTAAAGAAAAAATGTTTAATGTAAAGAATATTCAAAATCAGCAATTTGTAGTTAAGCTTTTAGTCAAACATAAAAATAAATTAAAAAAAACAACAACAACACCGAGGAGATAATGTTGTAGGATAATAGATAAAATAATCTCTAATACTTTAGTTTAATAATGGAATTATAAAAACTCAACAATAATTAAATCCAGTAAGGAATGTACAAAATTCGAAAATTTTTGGGAATTTTTGTAGAGTAAATCATACCTACAATGGCCGTTACTGAATGCGTATTACTTCTTTGATCCAAAATTCAACCTAATTGAACAATAGTAGCATTATTGGAGCATTCTAGGCTGTATATGGTATCATGTGCCGAATAATGTTGTTATAGGGTGCCATTACATATTTCAGGGGT